GATCTTCCCATGCGTGGCAGCTCCCAGCCAGGAGCACCGAAGAAGCCTTCCCAGCTGGGAGGCCTTATTCCAGCCCCTCTTTGGGGGAGACGGGGCACTTCTGTGGGTGGGCAGAGCAAGACGCAGCGGGACAGTCCCCACTGGGGCTTGCGGGAAGCAGAGGCCTGTTCTGGATTCAAGACCTGGAGGAGATGATTTGGGGGGGGCGGGTCTGGGGGGGGTCGGTTGGGCTCGTAACCAAAGGCTTGGATGCCACCAGGGGTCCCATCTCAGCTGGACCAAAAAGCGCCAGGCAGGAAAGAAGGCGGTGCTGGTTGCGTTGGCTTTTGAGGAAGAGGGGAAGATGATCGGGTGGCCTTGGTACATTTGAGGTGGGGGTCCTTCTGGAACCCCCCGGAGTTTGGGTGGGGGGTTTCAAGCGGAGCCCAGCCCGACAGGCAAAGATCTACTGGGCAGCCCCACCGCCGTGGGGGCAGTGAGGGATTTGACCTCTGACCTTCCAGGCCCAAAGGGGGCTGCCTCTCCGTCCCTCTGGGTCTTTCAGAGTGCCAAGCGCCCAGGTGGGAAACGAGTGTTTTCAAAGAATCACAAACCACGAATTGATGGTTGGTTGTGGCTCTTTTGTGCCTGCACAGGCCAGGTGTGCGCAGTTTGCACTTCCTGTTGTGCGTCTTCTGGGGTTTAAACTTTTCTTCCCCTTCTCCTTCCCGGGGAGGAGAAAAGGGATGGGGGCCTCTCGGGGGGCCTCTCTGTCCTCCCGGGAATCATAGAGTCCGGGGGGACTTAAGACACCCTCCAGGCCATTCCCTGCTCACATCTCCTCTTACGTCTTTTGCTAACTCTCAGTATCGTCTTGGATTTATGGACTGGCACTTTTAATTGTTCCTTTTGGTTTTTTAAAATTTTGCTGTTCGTTGGCCAAGGAAATATTGATTGATTGATTAATTGATTGATCGATTGAAGGGACTTAAGAAGTGATGAAGTCTAAACCCCTTTATTTGACCATCTCTGATAGATTATTAAACCCTTCGGTCCTTTTTTCATTTGCTTGCAGGCGTCTTTTGGCATTTCCGAATGCATTCGTTGCACTGGACTGACCTTGGCCGACCTCCAAAGAATTGACTGGGGTTTAAGACCTGCACGAGAGAAAAATCTCAGGCTGAGAAGTCAACACGAAGCTCGGGAAGGAAACCAGGTCAGGCCTGGCTTGATGGAGGTTTGGCCAAGGGTGGAGCTGGGGGGCTTTTTTCCAGGCAGGGGGCCCAGAAATTCTCCTCTCCTGTTCCCCTCCCCTCTCCCCCCCCCACAGTCGCCTTCTGAAAAGGACAGGTGGGGCATTGGGAGGTTGTCCTGCAGCACGGCTGCACAGAAATAATAATCTGTGCACGCAAGTCGGGTCATGGCGGAGAGGCTGCCTTCCTTGGCCTTGGCGGGCACTTCCTCCGCTGCCGCTCTGCCAATCACCCAGAGCAGCCCTCC